AGTTACCTTTTTAAGAAACTGCAAGATGCCTTTCCAAAGTAATTGTACCATTTTTAAAATTTCTGGCAGCAGTGAAATGAGAGTCATAGTTACTCCACATCCTTGTCAATGTTTAATATGAGTCTTTTAACAATAGCTTTTCTGAGATGTCTATAGTGGTGTCTCATGGTGGTTTAAATTGCATTAACCTAACATCCAATCATGTCGTTGAATTTTCTTGTTCTACTTGCCATCTGTGTATCTCCTTTGATGAAATAGTGGTTCAAATATTTTTTTGCATCTTTTAAAAGATTATTTGCTTTCTTACCATTGAGAGGTCTTTATTTATCGATGGATATATGACTGGAAAATATATTCTCTCGGTCTGTTATGTCTTCTTATTTTCTTAAGAGGATATTTTAAAGTAGGCTGTATTTGTTTTTAATTAGTTAATTTCTGGGTGAGTATAGTTTAAACAATGTGTTTGAGGTTTTCTAAGCTCACTCTGCACAGGAACTTGTGAAACAGCAGGGATTTCAAACAGAATGTCAACTGAAACAGAATTTGCTGAATTGGTGATAATTCTTTGATGTGAATAAGTCCCGGAGCAATCGCCAGCAAATCAATCAATGAGTTAAGTAATTAACTTGATCCTATTAATTAGGGGACTGCTGTATGGCACTTCTAGTCCAACACTAGAGTTTGCTTTAAACTATTCATTCCACGGGATTTAAAACAATTAAACTGATGCTTTAAAACAGTTAACATGGATAACAAAAGGATTCAGAAAAAAGTTAATTTTTTTAAAAAAAGATTTGTTTATTTCTATTTTTATGTATATGGGTATTTTGCTTGTATATATGTTTGTACCTAGTAGTACATGCCTGGTGACCACTGAGGCCAGAAGAAGGCGTCAGATCCCCTGGAACTGAAGTTACAGATTGTGAAAAATAATAGATGACTATAAGCCACTACGTGAGTCATGAAGAACCCAGGTCTTCTGCAAGATCAGCAAGTGCTCTTAACCACTGAGCCATCTTTCCAGTCCCTAATGATGCTTCTTTTTAGACTCACAAGTGTAACAGAGTTAGAGAAAATGTCTGTAACTGGCAAGGTCTAGTTCCAAGTGCCAGGTACCTTCTGACCTACTATTAACTGCTAGTTAGCTCTGTGTGTATCACAACTAGAACAGAGAAGACAGAAGTTAAGTTTGGTTAGGGCCCTTGTCATCTCTGCCAGACAACTCTCCCATGCCTCAAAGTAAGAGTAAGCTTTCTTCAGACAGTGTAAGCTTTCTTCAGAAATGAAGTGACCTAGCAGATCCTTACAGTGGAATGGGTCATTTTATATTCATTAGTCAACTTGACCCATCCACACCAACTTTCCAAGGATGGCTCCACCACCTCCGTATACTTACTTGATTTTCATTTATCTTCTTTTGCAGAGTGTCCATTTAAATATATTGTCTATTCTATTGGGTATATTACTAATTATTGAATTTTCAGAGTTTTTAAATATATATATATATATATGAATGCATAGATTAAATTATTAGCAAATATTTTCCCTCTGTGGCATACTCTTCATTTTCTTAACGTATTTTATAAGAAGTCCATAATTAGTTGTAATTTGAATATCTGGAAGTGTGTAATACCACCTAAAGCATCTGAATATCAGCCTTTTTTCAACTACAAACATGTTTTTATGCTGCACTGCATCTACGTGTCTATACAGTCCAAATGTCTAGGGGCATTTTATAGTGATAAGTAGCCTATTTGCTTTCTGGGGTCTCTGTACTACTTATGAACTTGGTAAAGCTACTCCACTTGCCAATCTACATCAGTGGAAGCTATGTCTTCATGACTTCCTTGGAAGCGTTAGGTATCAAATGGTAAAGGGGAGTGTGGGCCCTATTGTTCTTGCTCTGTCTCTTGTGCTCACCAGTTTTGTTCATTTGTCCTTTCTTCATAGTACTTGAAGAAAGAACTTGGACACTTTCTGTGGTTTATATATTGAAATTCTATACACACACATAAGGGCTTTGATTATCTTACTGAAGGTTTGGAAAAGATGACAGAGATAGCTTCATCACACTAGCACATACCATTTCAAGTTAGGTGTGAGAGATTTTCAATTCTGAAGAGTCTCAGTTTCATCTCCACCAGGAAGTTTTTACTGTATGCTTTTTTCCCAGGTGCATCACAGTTCCAGACCATTCACAGATTTTTTTCCTCCTTTTTTTTCTGCTCAGAACAAGCAAACATGCAAAAATATGCTATCTTAATCCATTTATGTTTCTGTAACATAATACCTAAGAGTGGGAAGTTTGTAAAAGGTTTATTTTGGCTCGAAGTTCTGGAGGTTGGAAGTTGTGGATCAAGCTTTGGGTGAGGGTCTCATGGAAAACAGAAGAGAGCACATATGCACATGAAAAAATGGGGCTGAACTTTATAGCTAGCCTATGCCTTCAGTAAATACACTGATCCATTCATGGGGGGGGGTGACACAACTCCTATGACACACAAACTCCTCCTAGTCTCTCTCTTTCTCTCTCTAGCCACAGCTGGCCTATTCACCATGGACATCAAGCTGGCCTTGAACTCACTGCCTGCCTCTGCCTCCCGAGTGTTGGGATTAAAGGCTTGGGCCACCATGCTTGGCCTATTCCCTCACTCTTAATCCAGCTGCACCAAGGAATTAAAATTCCAATGCATATGCTTTTGGGAGACAGTCAAACAATATAATATAGATGCTTTACTTCCTATTGGGCTGTAATACTTGTAGATCTTACCTTCTATATCAAGTCTTTTTAGATATTTTTCTAAAGAAAGAATTATCCTTATGACAATTCTGATCCCAGTGATAATATTATCTTATCTTAGCCTTCATACACAGTTACCTGTTTAACATATACAAATGCCACTGTTTGGGCTTGTTTCCTTCCTTTTTACTAGAATTAATTTTTATATTCATTTATTGTCTACTATTGATGTGCATACTTTTGGTGTTCTGGATAGCTAATAAGCTTACCACTGTCAGTATTTAAAATCATGCAGGAGTAGACTGTCTCCCATCCTTCTGATCCCTGCACATAGATAAAGCAAGCCTTTCTAGAAACAGTCCAGTTTCTGGGCCAGTTTATTTGTATAACCCAGAGAAGATGGTGAGCAGATCATTGCTGACTTCTTCATCATCTTCTTGGCTGCCCTAGGCACTATCTATGCATGTTTGTATGATGAACTTCTCCTTTACTCCCTGGTGGTGGGAGCCCTGCTGAAGAAGAGCTTCTCAAAAAACTGGGGTAGGAAGTTGTAAGAAGAGGGCACTTTGTTTTCAAGGCACTTGACTGATTT